CCTCAGAGAAGGGACGGGGCAAAGATGTTCGGTTGTGCAATTAGAAAGTTGGCAACCCTACTGTAATGTCAAACTGGGCTTCTTGGAGGAAGACTGTTCAGCTCCAGGTTTTCTGCAGTACCACCATGCTTTGAAAAGTTTGCCTGCAGACAGATTCTCTCATGCTTGAGAAGCAGGTTGCTCTCAAGGATACCTTTGTGGAATCTGCACACGCTACCTCCCTGAGGTCTCCCAGAGAGGGACTGGTCATTGGCTGTGGAAGGTGAAGTTAGTAGCAGACAAAGATTATTTGTGAGATTGGAAGTGCTATACAGTAAAAGCTCTTCTATCCGGCACTTCACCAACCGGCAAGTTCTATAAACCGGCATTTCTCATCTGCACTGAAAATCCGGTTTATAGTGCTATTGGTGTGGGGTTGGCAGGGGGTTGGGGTGTGGGAGGAGATGAGGGCTCCGGCTGGGAGTGCGGGCTCTGGGGTGGGACTGGGGATGAGAGGTTTGGGGTGCAGGAAGGGGCTTCGGTCGAGCGGTTTGGAGTATGGGAGTGGGCTCAGGGCTGGGTGTTTAGGTGCGGGAGGGAGGTGCAGGTTCCGGCTGGGAGTGTGGGCTCTGGGGTGAAGCTATGGATGAGAGCTTTGGAGTGCAGGAAGGGGCTCTGAGCTTGGGCCGAGGGGTTTGGAGTGCGGTAGGGGACTCAGGGCTGGGGTAGGGAGTTGGGGTACAGGAGGGGATGTGGGCTCTAGGAGGGGGCTCAGGGCTGTGGTAGGGGGTTGGGGTGCAGGCTCTGGGAGGAAGTTTGGGTGCAGGAGGGGGTTCGGACCTGGGGCAGGAGGTTGGAGTGCAGGTGGAGGGTACAGAGTCTGGGAGGGAGTTAGGGTGAGGGAGGGGGTTCCAACCTGGGGCCTGGGGTTCGGACTCCGGTTGGGCAGCGCTTACCTCAGGCGGCTCCCACTCGGTGGCACAGTGGGGCTAAGGCAGGCTCCCTGCTGCTCCCAGTAGCGGCCGGCATGTCCAGCCCGTAGGCAGAGGCGAGCTAAGCAGCTCTGCACGGTGCGTGCTGCCTGCCCCCACAGCTCCCATCGGTCGGGAACCATGGCCAATGGGAGCTGCAGAGCTGGTGTTGGGACGGGGGCAGCATGCAGAGCTTCCCTGATCGCCCCTGCACCAGCCGCTTCCAGGAGTCGTGTGGAGCCAGGCAGGGAGCCTGCCTTAGCCCTGCCACGCCACCAACCAGACTTAACAGCCCTGTGAGTGGTGCTGACCAGAGCTGCCAGGGTCCCTTTTTGACCAGGCATTCCAGTCAAAAACAGTGAAGCAGGGTCTTTTCTACATATAGCCTCTTGGTTCTCCATATAAGAAAAGGAGATTGTTTCAGCTCTTTGGAATGCCAGTACGTAGCAGGCCCATGATGCACCTGCCATGAATCAGTGCCCTCAAGATCTCACCTCAGCCAGTGCACTCCAGCCGTCATGTCATCTGGATCACTTGGTAAACTGTGCTTGTTCAGACATGCTCTCTAATATAGCCAAATATGCAAGATCATATATTTAGGAACAAAGAATGTATGTAAGACCTAAAGTGAGAGAGTATTCAAGAATTCAGTTACTATAAAGGTCTTGAGGGTCATGGTGGATAACCAATTGAACACGAGCTCCCAGCACAATCCTGTGGCTCAGAGATTTAACAGAATGACCATGCTACCCACCAGATTTGCCTCTGCAGGGAAGTGCAGTTTAAAGGGGGAGGGATAACTCAGTGGTTTGAGCATTGGCCTGCTAAACCCAGGGTTGTGAGTTCAATCCTTGAAGGGGCCACTTAGGGATCTGGGGCAAAATCCGTACTTGGTCCTGCTAGTCAAGGCAGGGGGCTGGACTCGATGACCTTTCAAGGTCCCTTCCAGTTCTAGGAGATAGGATATCTCCATATATTACAATGAACAAATTCCCTGTTTGGATCTAAAATGTGTTCATGAATACTGTATCCAATAATCTGACCATTTTCTCCATATAAACCATTTTGCCTACAGTGCCTACTGCAATGGGGCTGTAATCCTAGATATTTGCTTCTGGGAGCAACTGAAATTCAAATTATTCTTTACAAGCATTTCCTTGTAAGAATCTAAAATGTCACAATATGTAAGTGTTTTGATGAATTCAACTCCAAAAGCATCCTTGAATAAATTACTTCACAAACTACAGATTTCAGTATGTATCATTTACTAATGTTCAACAATTCACAACAATTTTGACAAATTTGAAATCCCTGATTAATTCAAGAAGCACAAGAGTATTAATAAATATTTTGCCTTTTGTATTTTAGGTGTCCTTCATGAGTTCTGCATGCTCACAGCATTTGTAAAAATCACAGCACTAAACTACTGGGTATAAATTATTTTTAGCTTTTATGCCCACTGGATAAGTAAATTTTCAGTGAAAATGTGGAAGTCTACACAGGCTATCAAATTAATATGCAAAGCAAGCAAAAAGTCTAATTTTCATTCTTGTCCAAATCCTTGGGAAGCAAAAACTCAAAACAAACATCTGCCAATTTACAACTTAGAGCGGATGCAATAAAAAATAAATTAAAAGGTTGTACTATGAAAGCTTTTGCACAGCCACAGAAATCTCTAAAAATTAATTTTATTGAATCCAGACTTTAAGAATTGTTTTTAGAGATATGTTTACAACCCTTTACATAAGTTATAAAGAAAAGGAGCCCATTTAAATCAGGAGTCACCTATCCATCTCCCCATAACACATCCAAAAAGGTATAGAACTAGAAATATTAAGCTAAGTTTGAGTGCTAAATAGCAAAACATTCATACAAGACTACCACAAATGAACAATGAATAGTTAACTTCAAGGAAATAATGAATTTACACGTATAATCTTTAAAATGTTAGCAAAACACTACGGTCATAATACAGACATTTTCACTACAGTAAAATTGTTAGTCTTCTACAGTCACTCATGTCCGTTTCTCCTTCTCTATAAAGGTGGAAGAAAAAGGTAGTTGCACGTTTCAAGACTGATTCCCTCCAGACAATGAAGAAGCGGTATTCAGAGGGTACCAAGTGAATAAGGTCTTGTCCTCCTTGACAATGTGGAGGGAGGGTGAAAGTCACGCAAAATCGAGTGAGAAAACAAGGACTTCCAGGCAGCACTGTAAAAAATGAGTGTCTTGAGTTGTGTGCACGTTGGATCTAATTAGTGGTAGGGCAACAAACTAAAATGATTCCTCTTCAGCAGAGTGATTCACCACCATCACCAGGCAATTTTATGTTTGAGAAATCTGGATGAGCTGAGCCCCAGTAGCCTCTTTGAAAGGGGGAAGAGCATAACTGCGCTCAGAGCTCAGCTCTGGTGCTGCCTACATATATAACCTTGTCTCTGTGAAAAAGAACAGTAAGTTTGACATAAAAGCAGTTGTTACTGTAGATGGCACTGGAACAGGACTATAAGCTCCGCTGACGAGCCTTCTTTCTACTATCTGAGATCATGGTCTTTGATGGGTAGCTTCACCCCCAGCTCACATTCTGTTCTGCATGTGGCTGGGACTACCTGAACCCCAGGCCGGAGCAGCATTTGTAGAAAAATAGCTGCTGCAAGGAGTCTGGTTACAGCAGCCAGAAGAAGGACAGTACTGGAGTTGCTTCCTGCAGTGTTTTTTAGCTCTCAGCCATGGGGCCTAACACTAACTCGGAGGACCGAACCCCAGAAGTGAAAGACCAACTCTAAAGACTCTGATGCCATCAGAGGACTGTTTGACAGCTGAGCCTGGATTCAGGCCCTCGGGGAACCATCCACATGAAAGGGAGCGCTACAGGCTACTTAAGGAGGGATACCACCCATCCTTATTGAGCTTTAACTCCACCAGACAATTAAGGCTGGTGGAGGAACTCTGACAAATTTTTTCCCCATATGTATTATTTGTGAGCATTTAGTGTTTAGTCATTAGTGTGATTTGGTTAGTCACTCATTTAATTATCCTCAACACGCCTGCCTTCTCCTTTTTTCCTTAAGAGCTGCCTACCTTGCACCCCCTTCTACCATCGTTCTTCTGGGTATCGTAGTAGTGGAGAGTCGCCACAGTGAAAGACTGCCTTGACCATGCTTCTGGTTCACCTGGAATGCTTCCTGTGTCAAGGGGTTCTGTGGAAGTGACACAAATCTGATAAAAAGGACATCCCCCACCCTACCCCCAATTGCTCCTGTGGGAATTGTGTGTCCCAAAATTAAAAATTCTTTGCCAAAAAGATAAAAGTTCTGCCCACAATGTTTTAAAATTCTGGAAATATTATTTGTCAATAAATAAATGTGGAGGCTCCAGCATGGCAGCGGGAGCACAGACTGCATGGAGGTGGGAGATCACCCTGCAGTCCTCCCTGGGGAGACACATTTGGTAGTGAGACTGCACCCGACTCTGACACGGTGCAAGGGCCGGGCCAGCCCCAAAGGTCCATGTCATGGAAGCCCCTCCCTCCTGGGAGTGATTTACCTCTCCACTGGCTGCCCGAAATTATGTGTCCGCACTGCAGGGGAAGGGAACGTGACCACTCTTGTTGCTTCCCTTTGCTTCCCCATCAGAAAGTCATTTTTCTGCGGAGAAGCAAAGAAATCAGCACAGGATATGAATTCTGCCCACACAGTGGCACAGAATTCCCCCCAGAGTAAAAAATGTATACTTGTCACTGAGGCCAGAAACTCAGCAAGATTCATCCTGTGGCAGTAAGCTCCACAATACAAAGAGAGAGGGGACATATTTATGGATAAGACTATCCAGGGAATTAGGAGGACTTCACAGACAGATGTGTCGTAATCTGCCTTCCACAGTTTTTGCACCTTCCTCTGAAGCATCTGGTGCTTGCCACTGTTGGAGACTAGATTCTGAACTAGATGGACTGCGGCCTGAACCAGTATGGCAGTTATGCTCAAAGATGTGCAGAGCCACTGCTGACAGGCCAGCTCTCCCAGGGACTGCTGGTCTTGGACAATTCACTTGGAGGAGTGCCTCACAAAGTCCCTGTGTGGCTGCTTTGCACAAGTAATGCAAAGTGACCGGAATGTACAAGTGGATTTCACCCCTGCACATAAGGCACAGCCTCCCCGAAGAAAGCTGAATAATGCCTTTGAGACTACTGTAAAATGAAGCCCTCTATTTTCACCCATAGAATGGGAAAGCACCGATAGCTTTGATTATGGTACTTGGGTGGGAAAGCTGGTAGTAGCTTTCCCACCAAAAGTGATTCAATCCCTAGAGGAAGGGACTATAAAATGTATGTGTGACTTTTCACTCCATATTCTTTATGAAAATATGCTTATGATATGAATAGGACATAACTGAGATATACTTTATGCAAAATGGCTCATGTAAGATATGGAGATATACCTATCTCACAGAACTGGAAGGGACCCCGAAAGGTCATCGAGGCCAACCCCTTGCCTTCACTAGCAGGACCAAGTATTGATTTTGCCCCAGATCCCTAAGTGGCCCCCTCAAGGACTGAACTCACAACCCTGGGTTTAGCAGGCCAATGCTCAAACCACATATCATTGGAAAGTTTATGATTTACTCAATGTGATTATCCAATTTGTTTGCCTGTATCATTTCTGTATCCAAAGTTAGGAATATTGACTATATATCTGTATTTCAAATGGGTTACTTTGGGTGTCACCCACAACTACCCCTTCAAGTACAACAATGGAAAAGCCAGACAGGGCTAATGGGCCATTAGCAAAGACAATGGACTGTGAAAGAGCTTAGTCTTCCTGTGGATGCTCCAGACAGCTGCCACAGCCCTGGAGAGACATCCCCTGGATCTGAGTCATCTGGTACTGGGACCCACCCCTTGGAATGCCAGTGTTCTTCCACTGGGAGACAAAGGATTCCTGCCATACACAAGAGCTATATAAGGCTATATAAGTGACATCATGGTGGTTCTCCTCTGCCTCCCTGCCCAAAGAGACACTGGGAAACACCTGGAAGCAAGAACTGAACTAGGGGGAGAAGGGTAGAGTCCAAGCTGGAAGGGTGTCTAGCTTGTGAGTAATAATACCTGAGGCCTCAAGCTTTGGAGACTTTCTGTAACCAGCCTGCTACAATATCTAGGGTGAGAAATTACTATTTGTAACCAGTTTCTTTATGAAACAAACTTTGTATGTGTGTTTTATTTGCTTAGTAATCTGCTGAATTCTGTTTGCTATCCCTTTAACCACTTAAAATCTGCCTTTTATAGTTAATAAAATTTGTTTTGTTTATGATTAAACCCAGTTTCTGTCATTTCTAACGGGGGGGAGGGGGCAGCCGACACAAGAAGTTGTGCACACCTTCCTCCACATTGAGGGAGGAGGCGGATTTCATAATATACCTTTGGGTCAGCACTCCAAGGGAGGTGGACACCTGAGTGCTGGGGCAAGTCCCTTAATCTGAGGCTTCCCAGAGCTGATCTCAGAGTCTGTGTCGTTCTGCAGTTGGGTGTGGCCCTACCTATGTGTGTGCTGGAGGAGGCTTAATAGCCTGGCTCAGCAAGACAGGTAAAAAGGGTGCCCAGGCTGGCAGAACAGGCAGGCTCAGCGGAATCACAGGATGGACGATCATTCTCCACGTCAGTTCAGTTTTTAGCCTCTGTGCTTCCCAGTCAGTAATTAATTTTGCTACAGATCTTGGTCACACTTGAACAAGTAATGTAGAGATGAAATGCTGTGTGCATCTTTAAGTGATTTAGTCTCACCTTTCCTAGCCCCAACAAGACATTATGATTTTTACCACTTGGTCAGTTGGTCAGATGGTCAGTTCTGTTTCAGAAAAGAAATCTTGGTAAAAGCTTTTAAGCATTTCCATATGACGAAATCCATATGTTGTTATACTTATTGGAATGTTTAGTCTGATGAAGGGAAAGCCTTATCACAAAGTTACATTTTTAATTCTATAACAATGCTATGGACAAGAACGGTTAAACAAGAGCATAATGCAGAAGATGATAATAGTTTTATAATTGAATACCCCCAATTACAACCTACTTTACCGCAATAAGCTTCCATTAATAATTCCCAGCAATGTCACCCCCTACATTATGCCAACCTCTTCAAATTCAGCAAGGAGGGAGAGATGTTAGAGTGGATGAGGCAATATGGGTTAGTTAATGTCTTGAAAGTCGCTTTTAAATGTTATCCGTGTCATATTGTTCACAAATTAATCATGCAAAATTAAATGAAAGACCTTTTAAGGTCATCTAGTTCATCCTTCTGCTAATCATGATTACTCATTACAGTAATTAGTCCAGTCTGTTTTTAAATGTGTTAGGTGATAGCACTTCATTAAATGTCCATTAGGAGATCGTCCCACTGTCTGAGCTGTGACTTTCAAGAATGTTTTCCTAGTATTTCAGGCAATATTTCAATTGTTTTCCCTAGTGCAATATCCTCTATCACTAAGTAAATTCCTTCCCTTCCTTGGTGATTTCACCCTTCAAGTACTTCACTAGGTGAAGGGAAAAGCGACATAACCACATGCAAGCCACACATTTAGCATTTTTAATCGTTCCTCGATTCAGTCTCTACAGCTCCCTAATGAGTTTTGTTGTTCACCTTGTTGGCTGAGCATATTTTAAACAAGAGCCAGACCTGAATATATTTTAAGTATGTCCTAAAAACACGTTACATTATAAAATAAAGCTTATGAGCTTCTGAAAATGGAAAAAGAATGGTATAGATTACAAGAGTTCTGACTTCCTGTCAACATTTCTATCACACACACAAAAAGTTTATAGGAAAACCAGAAAAAAAGAGATTAAACACTACTACTTTGAATTTCAAATCATTTAGTGAACAGATGGCTAAGCTTCACAGACCATCAGCAGTCTATTTCAATTAGCTGGAATTGCAATTAATGTAATGTCATACAAACTAGGACTAATAGATTTGAAGCAAGATAAATAATATTACTTGTAAATAGCCATTAAAGTGTATAAAAAAATGGTACCGGCATTAAATAAAAACCTTCTATTTAAGGCAGTCATTAAATCTAGACATCATCTTAAGTGTATCAGGATGTTTGCTTGCATAGGCTTCAACAAACCCATCTGACTATTGTAAAGAATAATTTAAGAAAATTAAATAAAGCTGCCCTCTGATTTTTCATCAAACAACCTCCAACTTTAGAAACATGCTTACTAACAATTATGGCCCCAATCCTGCAAACACTTAAACACATGAGTACTTCCATCTAGTTCAATGGGACTATTCGTGTGCATATGCATTTATTAACTTGAGATAAGCCCCATGGTCCTTGAACAGAGAAATTTTCCAATGCCTTTGCCTTCAAGAGGACACTTTCTTAAATTTAGGAATACAGTAACACACATTTTCGATATTGTAAGCCTGGCATCAGGCAACATGCTTTTATCAAGCATGTCCTTGGGCTGTGATCTTGTAGCCAGGCCCAACCCTGCCTGTGATGTACCATTAGATATTTGATAATGATTTCCATGTTGTCAACTCATTAAATAGTACTCTTCCTTCTGAGTCAGAGTTTTATCAATATCCCATTATAGCTACCAACCTAAACTCCCTCTCTTTTTATTTGGGTAAGTTCTTCCTTTTCTGTTCTAAATTGTTCATATTTTAGCTGGTACCACAAGATCTAATGCTTTCAGTCCCAATGTGGGTGCATTTTGATGATAGGTGGAAAGAGCTACAGATTTTTTTGTTTGGTTTATTTGTAAAAATACTGCACTGTACAATATATACTAATGAGAAGAGACAAGATCTTTACCCCAAAAAAGTCCTAGAATTCAGTTGAGAGGGGGAATACTAAAAAGCCACAGGCAGCAAATTATATTACTATTAGATTGGGGTGACAAGGCCAGTGGAGTAGATTTTAGCAGATGAGTGCATTACTACACTAACATCTAGAGCAGGAGCGGGCAAACTTTTTGGCCAGAGGGCCACATCGAGTTTCAGAAATTGTATGGAGGGCCAGTTACGGGAGGCTGTGCCTCTCCAAACAGACAAGCGTGGCCCGGCACCCGACCCCTATCGCCCCCCCCCCCCCCACTTCTCACCCCTGATGGCCCCCCGGGACTTCTGCCCCATCCAACTCCTCCTGTTCCCTGACAGCCCCCCCAGACTCCTGCCCCCATCCAACAACCCCT